GAGCCCACCGCATCAGCTCTTCTGCAAAATGCTCCCCAGCTCTGGGGCTGCTGAGCAGACAGCACTCAAAGCCCATGTTCCCTGACAAAGTGTTGCACAGACACTCACTGGCAGAGAAACATTTATTGGTGCCCTTATGCAGGGTAAAGATCCCAGAAGGAATGCAGTCTCTTGAAAAGAGCTGTCCAGGTGGTAACGCAATCTCTGTCGCAAGCCTCCTTGCAGCGAGCGGCCTCTTTGGCCACCTTGCTCTCGCTCTTTGGGTCTCTCTCTCTCTCCAGCCAGCTCGTGCTGCTGGTAACACCGACCTCTGCCTACTCCATGCTCACGAACGTGTCCGAGTTGTCTTGCTGCACCGCTAAGATCAGCTCAATGGAGAGGGATCCCTCGGAGGTGTTGGTCAGCTTGAGCTTGCAGAAGTGCGTGGAGGGCAGCACCGTTATCTTGCATGTGGCAGCCTGAGGCACAGCCATGCAGGCTGCTGTCATCAGCTCCTGGAGCCAGAAGGCGGTTTTCTGCCTGTCGAGGTACGAGCCAGTGCAGAGGGTTTGTAGGAGGCTGGCTTCCTGACTGCTCATCAGCTCGTCCTCAGAGTGGTGGAGGAAGCAGAGCATGTCCCCCAGCCACCGCTCTCTTGTGCACAGGCACTCCAGTTCCACACGCAGGCGGGAGTTCCTCACCAGCATCTCCTCTTGGGTGCCCAGCTCGAGGTGGAAGGAGTGCCCGGGGGGTGGCTTCAGGGGCACAAGCAGGCAATAGACAAGGTCTTCTTCACCATCACCCCAGCCTTCTAGGAAGCTGCCCACCCCGACAGCTGGCTGCAGCCGTGGCATGAAGTCATTGCCAGAGAGGATTCGGCAGACCCCGAGAAGTTCGTTCACCAGCTCTTCCACCACCTTGCATGTCTTTTGCCTGTTCGGCAGTGGCCACAATGTGTACTCGTCCAGAAACCTCTCCGTATGTAATGGGTCTTCCCACTCTTCCTCCTCCTCCTCCTCCTCCTCCTCCTCCTCTTCAAGGCTTCTGGAGCTGCCACGCTTGCTGCTGCTTCCTGGCTCATGGCTCCTTTTCCAGAGCTGCCAGCAGAGGCAAAATAGCAGGACCAGGCCTCCAGCAAAGGCCCAGAACTGCCACTGCTGCAAGGCAGCGAAGAGCAGGGCTCCCCTGGCCACCCAGTTGGGCTTCTGCGGGCTCTGCTTCATCTCTTCAAGCAGCCGAGCCATCTCCTGGGTCAGCTGCTCCACACGCTGCTGCATGCACCGGCACATAGCCGCATCCAGCTCATCTCTGGCCTCCGGTTGCGCCTGGAGGATGCCCAGGACAATCAAGGCAAACACTATCACCAGAGCCATGGCCTGCAGGAGGGGGGAAAGAAGGGGGCTCAGTGGCGCTGGGCGGGGAGAGCG